CCCGTGGCTCCCTCCCCTGCCTGTGGCTCCCTCCCCTTCCCGTGGCTCCCTTGCCTTCCTGTGACATCACCACCTCCCTATGTTGCTCCCCATGGCTCCCTCCCCTCTGCATGGCATGCCCTCACCCCTTCTCCAGGCTCCTCCCTCCTCCTTTTCCCAGCCCCTTCCCATGGCTTCTTCCCTTTCCTGTGGCCACCCAGCTGCAAAGGACCCAGGGAGCAGGAGTTCACCTTGAGGCAATGCTTCTGAGGCATCTGCCTGCTCTCTCAGCTGTCCCTCAGCCCCTCTCCCATGGCTTTCTTGGCTGCCCTCTGCAAGATCGCCTTGCATGGCTCCAGCAACTGAATCTGCCATCTCCTCCAACTTCAGGGGCCCTGGGCGGTCCACTTCAGCTTGCTGTTGCAGATCCTTCAGGAGACTCCTTAGGAGTGTGTCTGGGGGCACAGACAAAGTCAGAGTTATTGGTCACACAGCATAACAAGTAGCCTGTTTGGACATGGAGCTCACAGAGAAGGAAGGATGGACTGACTGACAACCCAGGGAAGGAGAAGAGAAGGCCACACAATAACTACAGGTTCAGCTGAGGAGGAATTGGCATTTACTTGATACATACCACTTACCAAAGTCAAATCAAGATCAGATAAACAATTTAAACAGACCTATAACTCCTAGTGCCACAGAAGCAGTCATTAAAAGTCTCCTAAACCAAAAATGCCCAAGGCCAGATGGTTTTCAGGAAGAATGCTACCAGACTTACAAAGAAGAGTTAACCCCAATACTCCTCAATTTATTCCACAAAATAGAATAAGAAGGGACATTGCCCAATTTGTTTTATGAGGCCACAGTTACCTTGGTAGGCAAACCACGTAAGGACCCAGCAATGAAAGAGAATTACAGACCAATTTCTCTTATGAACATAAATGCAAAAATACTCAATAAAACACTCACACACCAAATCCAAGAACATATCAAAAAGATCATCTACCATTATTAAGTAGGCTTTATCCCCCCAGATGCCAGGATGGTTCAACATATGTGAATCCATAAATGTAACCCACCATATAAACAAACTGAAAGGCAAAACCACATGTTCACCTCTTTAGATGCAGAAAAGGCCTTCAACAAAAATTCAACACCCTTCATGATGAAAGTACTGGGCAGATTAAGAATACAAGAGACATCCCTCAACATAATAAAGGCAGTTCACAACAAGCTCATAGTCAACGTCAACTTAAATGAAGAGAAAACTCAAAGCAATCTTCCGCTAAAAGATTTTAGCAGAATTTATTAATTACTAAATTCCGCTAAAATCAGGAACAAGTCAAGGCTGTCCACTCTCTCCATACTATTCAATAAAGTACAGAAAGAGATCAGGGGGCTATAAATAGGAAGTATATTTTATTTGCAGAAGATATGACAGTATACATAACTGACCCCAAATATTTCACCAGGAAACCCCTACCGCTAATTAACAACTTCTGCAGAGTGGCTGAATACAAAATTAACTCACAAAAATCAGCATTCCTCCTATATACAAACGACAAATGGGATGACAAAGGAATTTGGAAACGCCGCCTTTCAAAACTGCCTCAAGTAATATAACAAGACATCCTTGGGTGACTCTAACCAAGCAGGTGAAAGACTTGCATGATAAAAACAACTTTTTAAGACACTGAAGAAAACAATTAAAGAATACATCAGAAGATGGAAAGATCTCTCACACTCATGGGTTGATAGGATTAACACAGTGAAAATGGCCATCCTACCAAAAGCAATCTACAATTCCAATACAATCCCCATCAAAGTTCCACCACAATCCTTCACAGATCTTGAAAGGACAAATTTCCACTTCATATGGAAACACTAAAAACTCAGGACAGCTAAAACAATCACAAATAATAAATGAACAGCGGGAGGTCTTGTCACCCTCAATTTCAATACCACGAAGTTACAGCAACAGAACCAGCAAGGTACTGGCACAAAAACAGAAACTGTCAATCATTGGAAGCAAATTGAAGACCCAGATATAAATCCAAACATCTATGGACACCTGCTTTGTTTTGTTTTATTTTAATAAAGTCAGAAACATATGAAACACTGGAAAAGACAGCCTCTTCAAAAAATGGAGCTGGTCAAACTGGATGACTGATTGCATGTAGAATAATGTAAAGAGATTCATACTTCTCACTCTGAACAAAACTCAACTCCATGGGGATCAAAGATCTCAACACAAACCCAGATACGCTGAACCTAATAGAAGAGAAAGTAGGCAACAGCCTTGAACTCATTGGCACAGCAAAAGCCTTTCTGAACAGAACTCCATTAGCACAGGCACTGAGATCAACAATTAATAAATGGGACCTCAAGAAACTGAGAAGCTTTTGCACAGCAAAGGACACCATCATTCATACAAACTGGCAGCCTACAGGATGGGAAATTATTTTTCCCAACTACACATCTGACAGAGGTCTAGTGTCCAAAATATATAGAGAACTCAAGAAACTAGATATCAATAAAACAAAAAAAAACAATTAAGATGGGGTATGAACAGAGATTCCTCACCCCTGCTGCCCAAAAAAAGAAGGAATCTCAAATGGCTGAGATTAATAGCACTTAAATGTTCAACATCCTTAGCCATCAGGGAAATGCCAATCAAACCTACTCTGAGATTTCATCTTACACCTGTCACAATGGCTAAGATCCATAAAACATCTGGCAGCTCAAGCTGGTGAGGATGTGGCATAAGGAGGACACTGGTGAGATGTGGTGGTGGTTATATAGCCACTATGGAAATCAGTGTGGTAGTTCTTAGGAAGATAGGGATCAATCTACTTTAAGATCCAGCTATACCAACCTACTCTTGGACATATGCCCCCACCCCAAATACTTCATCCTACCACAGAGGACGTGTGGTTCAAGCATGTTCATTGATGCTCTCCTCATAAAGCCAGAAACTGAAAACTTAAATGTCCCTCCACAAAAGAATGGCTAAAGGAAACATGGCTCGTCTATACAATGGAGTATTGCTTGGCCATTAAAAGAATGAAATCTGTAGTTAAATGGATGGAACTAGAGAAAAAAAATCACCCAGAGTGAGGTTATCTCAGAAACAGAAAGACAAATTCAGTGTGTATTCACTTATATGTGGATATCAGCTGCTAAGTCTGTGATCATCCAGCTACAGTCTATAGAACCAACGAGGGTAAGAATAAGGGTCTAGTGGGGATGGATATATCTCATTAGGAAAGAGAAATAGAATAGATAGTTATGGACAGATGGAGGAGGATAGAATGGGAGGGTCGAGGTAGGGGAGATAGTGGGAGAGGATACGGGAAGTGATATGTAAAATTAAGGGCCATGTGAGGGACAGTATGAAACCCTAATACAATAGGTAGAAGCTTCCCAAAATATTTACGTATATGAAGGCAATCTAAATGAAAGTGCCAAGTAACGAGGAGACAGATTTCCAATTAGACATCTCTTGTCACCAAATGAAGTTTCCAGTACTGGGATTGGGTTACATCTAATTGGGTTGTTGGCCAAAAGGGACCCATGGGAATCCTCAAACAACCCAGGCTGCTGCCAAGACAGCAAACTAACAAGGCCTCATGGCTGACGAAACACCTACATGACTCATTGAACATGGAGAAATTGAGCTGTTGCCTACATAGTGCATTCAACCCTTTCTTTGTTCCAGCATCTTTGGGACAGTGAGCTACTCTGGATGCTACCAAAAAAAAAAGAAAAAGAAAAGAAACATAAACTTCAAACCAGCCGCAAAACCTTTCATCTACAATGGTATCCTGATCGAAAGATATGCTAGTGCAATGGTAGCACAAAGTTTATGGGAATTACCAACCAATGTCTGATCTGACTTAAGGCCCACTCTAAGAGATGGAACCAGTACCCAATGCTGCTTGAGTGACCAAGAACCAGAGACTACATAGCTCAAGGACCTAGGTAAAAAACAAATTCTACTGCTCAAAAAAAAAATCGGTAGCAAAAAATGACTCCTAATGATGTTCTGCTCTACTCACATCTCAGTGCCTTTCTCTGCCATCATTAGAGAAGCTTCCTCCTACAGCAGATGGGAACAAATACAGAGACCCACAGTCAGACATTATTCAGAGAGTGAGAGACCTTGGAACCAACTCAGCCCTAAACCTTCCCCCCTCAGAGTTCAGGGAATCCCTGGGAAGAGAAAGTAGAAAGAGTGGAAGAGACATAGGGAGTGGAAGACACCAAGAAAGGCAGGCCCTCTAAATCAACATGATCAAAGCTCATATGAGTTCACAGAGGTCTTCTGCATATATGTCATGTTTCTATGGGATCCCTGAATGTGCAAATGAGTGGATCTCTGATTCTCGTACCTTCTCTTAGGCTCTTTCATTTCTGTTTGTCTTATCCAACTCCAACCCGTTAGTTTCTGCATTCTCTTTTATATCATATTGTTATATTATATTATAATCCTTTATAAACCTGTTTGTTTTCTACTGAGAGACAGAAAGAGAGTGGATCCTGATTGGGGGAGAGATGGGAGAGAACTGGAAAAAGTTGAGCAAGGGGAAACTGCAATCCAGATATATTATGTGAAGGGGAAAAATCTATTCTCAATAAAAGGGAAAAAAGAAAAAAATGAATGGATCTTCAGGCATCAGTGTGGTTTTCTATTTGGTATTATACATATAAACAGCACACTTGGATCTGTAATCAAGAACTTTCAACCAAGAAAATCTGTAGCCAGGGGGCATACCCTTCAGACACAAAGGTGACCGACATTTTTATATTGTGCTGATGGAATAACAACTGAGTGGCCCTGCAGACCTACACTTTAAAAAAGGTGATAGGGAAGTAAACACCATGTGTGAACAGATGCTGGGAAGGAAGACAGCTGCAGCCTGCTTTTCCTTCTTCTCTAAAAGACATTTGTCTGCTATGGAGGAGTCATCCATCCATGTTCCTTGTAAAACACACATAGCCATGCAGACACCGGAGAAATGTGTCCACTCCCATGGCAACAAGAGTTCCCCGTTTCCTGTGTGCTGTGCTCAACAAAGGTATCTTTATCTCAGCAGAAACAAGGCTTCAAGGAAATAATAGTCCCAAATTATCTAAGAAAAGCCATTCACGGTGTATTGGGGGCAAGGAATTCCTGTAATAATAATGAATGATTTAAAAAGCCAGTACAAACAGGCAAAAGATATGCTCAGTGGGTACAGTGCTTATTATGCCAGCACAAGGACCCAAGTTTAGAGCCCCAACATGTATGTAAAAGTCAGAAGTTGCAGCACATGCCTGTTATGCCACTCTTGATGGAGGCAGAAATAAAGATGCTCAGAGTTCATTGGTCAGCCAGTTGAGCCAATGAGTGAGAACCAGAGGCTCTGTCTCAAAACAAATAAGGTGAGAAATTATGAAGGATGAGACTCAGCAT